CGGGCATGTTCTCCGCGTACTACTTTTGTATGATTTTGCAGCCGGAGCTGGGGGAATGTACTCCGCGTACGCCGATCCCCGCAGAGGGTCGCACGCGCACCGACAAAAAAGCAAAAAGCAACTCGAGTTTTTGCACCTCGACCACGCCGATCCCCGCAGAGGGTCGCATTCCCGACCCCACCCCCTGCCAAGAAAGAGATTCGTAATACCGAGCTCTTTCTCTTTCTTTCCCGCGCGTTAAGTACTTAACCTAACTTACTTAACCTAGCTTACACAGCTGCTAACGCCGAGCCTCTGCACCTAGCTTAGCCTAGCTCTATGCTCCTAGCTCTATGCGCTTGGCTCTATGCGCCTGGCTCGATGCACTTCGCTCTTTGCACTTGGCTCTGTGCACTTAGCTCTGTGCACTTGGCTCCTTGCACCTCGCTCTTTGCGCTTCGCTCTGAGCACTTGGCGCTATGCGCTTGGCTCTTTGCACTTGGCTCTGCGCAAGTAACCCTATGCTGGTGACTCCACACTGGTGACTCTGTGCAAGTATCTCCATGCTTGTGACTCTGCGCAAGTATCTCCATGCTGGTATCTCCATGCTGGTGACTCTGTGCAAGTATCTCCATGCTGGTAACTCTGCGCAAGCTACTCTGTGCTAGTAACTCTGCGCGAGTATCTCCATGCTGGTATCTCCATGCTGGTGACTCTGTGCAAGCTACTCTGCGCAAGTTGACCAAGAGCTCCGCACGGAAGAACCCTTCGCAATGCTTTCGGGAAAAAACAACATGCCCAATACTACTTTAGAATTTGCCCAATTTTTAAAGTAGTATTCGAAAACCAAATAACAGAGCCCAATACTAAACGCATTCTAAACTTTTCCTGACCCTGAAATTCTTCTTGTTCCCCCGAAAAGCTTGCTCGCTTGGCCTCAACGCTCCTTCAACCGCCCGGTCTTTGCTTTGCTGCCAAGACGCACCCACCAAGATTACCAGCGGTGTGTCCAAGCTTTGACAGCGCGCATGCTGAACTTCGTGAACAGCATCTGGCAGAGTACTGACACTGACATAGTTGAGCCCTGCCTGGCGAGAGCAGGCGAGCAGGCAACGCAAGTTGTGAAAGAGCGCCGTCCGCGCCAAACTTCTTGGAACACGCCGGAGCTTGGAAGACTTCCCAACCTTCACGAACTTGAGGTAGTCTCAAAATACCGACAACCCCAGAAAGAGTATATAGATTCCTTGTGAAAGCAGCCGCAAATTTGGCACCCTTAACACAGGGCACATTCGCTTAAAACTTGTGTTCGAGACTACTGGCATAAGCAAGTCAACATCAGCGCTTGCCGCTTACGCAAAGCCGCCATTGATGGCATCGATTGCACCCCGGTCTTCCTGGGCCCGTTGGATATTTTACCACTTGTCGGTCTTTCGGCCAGGGACCCCGCGCTCCTTGCATGAACCTCCTTTTCGATGGCCCGAACGGGTGACGTTTCAACCACCAAAGAAGAAATATAAGGACCGCTGCAATCCTTGCCATCAACATACAAGCAAACGGTGAGGATAAAGAGGACATGATAATACTGCACCGATCTAACTTCAGGGATCCTAAAACTAAGCGCCTTCATCGTTTTGCATCCACCCGCCCAACATTCCCACCCGCTGACTTGCCAAAAACATGCACAGACTGATTGATAGTTTGCTTGCTTGCCTGCCTACACGCATGCAGGCTAGCTACTAACCTTTCTGAAAATGCTGCAGTTCGATGCTGCGCCACAGGTCTTAGGCAGGGTGCACAAGTACAACCTAACAACAACTACCCCCACAGCAAAAAACAAGGACGCAGGCGCGCCAGTGATACAAGGAATTGCCGGCAACCATGTCGTGGGGAACGTACAGAAATAATAAATCTTTCCATTTTCATCTTTCACCAAAACACGCACAGTATTTGCATCTTGCGCACTGGCCCCATGATTTGCGTGAGTCGGCATGCCTCAAATTGCCAAAGACCTTCTTGCTTGTCCGCTGGGAGCATTATCATTTCCCACTCTTGGCCAAGGACCACACATCTCGCGGGAGGCCAGCCGGGGGAAATTAATGGGAACACCCCAAGAGCAAAAGAACGCACGCAGTTGTGATGCTTGAGGTTTGACACTGCTTCTTGCCTTGGCCGCGTGACGCTCGAACAGCAATCTGCTGCAACACTCCTCGCAAGAATCGGGCGCCAAATTTCGAGAAGACTAGGTGGAATTGCCCTATGTTCAACATGGAGTTTATGAACTCCTATGCAAAATATGCTACTTTGCTTTTAGAAGCTGAAGAAGTGCGCCCTTCCATGTTTGGTGGAGGCCCAGACGAAGGCGAAGTAAGCCGCAGAAATTCGTAGCGCTCACGTCTCATTCCTCATGAAATCGCGTGATCCTTGTGGTATCCTGTTGCGTGTCTTCTTAGCGTATGTTGGACATACCCAGGGATTGTTCAGCAACACAAAATGTAACTCGACTTTGGCAAGAGGCTGTGAGACTGTCTCAGACTAGGGTGAGCCCAAATAAGGTGCTATATTTTGCGGGTACCTTCATGGGGTTGGTTTAAAGGCAAGCTAAAGGACACCCCCCATTTCAAGGCGAAATGAGGAGGGAGAAGCATGACTGGTATTGGCTCACCTTTTCCAGATGTGTTAAGCATACCCTCAAGCGCGTTGACTCATGGGCCGTGAGGCTGTTGTAGAATAGGGCCGCCCTGTTTTGTGTTTCTTCTTATTCAAATCCGCTTTTTGCGCAGAGCCCCGAAACCACATCTGGAAAGGGAAGCCAACACCAACCATGCGTGTCTCCAACTAACGTAAGTACACCCAGTACATTCCCTGCCAAGGCTAAACCGGAAGGGATGTCATACTGCTTTTGTGACCCGTAGTGGAACACCACAATCCGCTCCCCATTATTTAATAAGACAAGACCAAAGTTTAGCAAAAAAACATGATCAGCAGTGCGTCGTGACTGAGAGCAGGAAGTCCCCCAATCAGGCTGGAAGAGAGGTGATCGGGAGAAATTACGAGAATAGTATTGGCTTCAAGCTAGGCTAATTCTAATTGAGTATTGCCTTCGCGGGGTTTTGGACAGACATTCTCTGTCAGGTTTGAGCAACCCAGAAAAAGACCCCCCCCGCCTCCCCCCCCCCCAGCTCCTCCACAGCAATGACCACATCTATGATCGCCAGGTCCGACAATGATGTTGTCTCGGAGCTTGTGGTGCCTCAGAAAGCTGAAGGGAGAAGGACTGCCAACATTTGGAATGATTGACAAGGGCCCCCCCCAAATCTTTTTACTGCAATTCAGGCGTCATGGCCGGCCGACCGGAAAGTGGCCTTGCTACTAGAAGATCTTCCAGTCACCAATCCTACCCGACCGACCTTCTAGTAGCATCCAGGTCCAGCAAACGTGGGCAATTGCTTCCTGGATTCCCAACCGTTTAATGCGAAATTCGTGGCTCCTTGGTTGGGGGTCAACCTGGTGTTATTTTCGAACGACTATGCCTTTGCGTCAGCCTCGGTTCCAAGAATGGCCAGATACACTCACTCGCCTCAAGGACCGGCCCACCTTAACGTCACCATCATAGCTGCTATCACCAAGGTTACAGAATCCGAACTTTCCCAAGCTCTTTACCTGATTTTGCCTTCCCAGACTACTCGCCTCTTTTCGCACATGGCTCTGTGCAAGTAAACGGCTCTGCGCAAGTTTCTCTGCGCAAGTATCATTGCGCGCGCTCCGTGCAACTTCGCTGTGTGTAAATGGCTCTGTGCAACTGACTCTGCGCAAATGGCTCTGTGCAGATTGGTCTGCGCAAGTGGCTCTATGCAACTTACTCTTGTGCAAGTTGGTCTGCGCAAATGGCTCTGTGCAACTTTGTCCGTGTAAGTGAATCTGCATGAGTTTGTCCAAGGGCTCCGCATGGAAGAACCCTTTTCAGGCCAAAACACGTGCTATTTTGGCTAAGTTGGGTTCAAGCCAAAATTGCGTCCAATCAAGGCAAACACAGTTGAACATGTGAACCAAGCCTGTCCAAAGAACGCGACATAATAGCGAGCATGTTCCTTTCCGCCCTGGAAAGGAAAGAAACAAAAGGAAAGCAACCATGTGGGAGGTCCAAATGCTTATTTCACCACCGCGATCCAAGGGGCTCCTGTCATCGAGAGCCTCCTCCATTGACGGGCCCATGTGCGTCCACGCCCCGCACATGAAACCGCAATCGCCACAGATGGCTGCGATCGCTCTGGGGGTTGCTGGCCTTCGCATCAGTTTACTTGGCTTTTCTCTAGTGTTTGGGTGTTGTCAAAATTCAGGGCTCCCTATATTTCCGCTCAAAACATCACCCACCTTTCGTGGGCCAAAAAGGTGATGTTGAAAACCACCAAAACGGGAACCCCTTTTTGGACCCTGGCAGCACACGTGCAGCCTTGTAGGTGCGCTCCTCCCCCCATTTTTCAGATAGGAATCTCTTGGCGCCTGCAAGCTGGCACAAACATGTGGCATTTGGAGCGGCCTTTTCTCGGTTCCTTCAGTTCGGCCTACGCAAATTGCTCGCCAACAAAGGCTGACCATTGATGTAAGCCTGCCTGCCTTCCGCAGAACCACTTGTCCCCAACACCTGGCCAGTGCTACAAGCCGAACCTTTGCGCCGGCTTCACGCTTAAGCAGTAGAAACAAGTATCGGAAGCACGAGACACCCAGAAGTTCTAACAAAACCTCCAAGCAAGGGCGAAATTGGGTTGAGGCCTCTTCGGCCAGTTGGGACACCAACCAAATACAATCACTTGTGAGAGTTGTCCAGGGATCCTTGCATTTTACACCTGAACATTGCCTTGTAAATGGTGGTTTCCCTTTAGTTTGGTGGAAAAAACATGTTTCAAATGGCAAAATGTATGTTTTAAGGAGCCCTGTTCCCTCTTCTGACATCAGATCGCTAAAGGACTGAGCCTGGACCACGGACTCACAACCCTTTGACCGGACTTTGGCACGGTGCTGTCCTGTGGAGGCAGCGTGGCGCTGGCAACCTCGACCTGCCCGGCCAAAGGAGACACCTGGATTTCCACAAAAGTATGCGTCTGGAAAAACGGTGTGAACATCCGCTTTCTTTGGCTCTGTGTCTCCCACCATCGCGAGCAAGAGAGCCTCGGAAAAACACGCAAGCACAAAACTGTCTAGCTGCATGAAACGAGGCTGTGTTGCACCCACCAAAACACCGTATTAATATCGCCCGAGTCAGCATGCCTAATTGCAAAAGCAATGCAGGCCAGCAAGTTCCGGCTTTGTCCTCCCTTATGCTGCCCACAGCAAAAAAGCACATGGCATGGCAAGCATCAATGTTATCTTAGGATTCATTCGGATACAGATTCCGGGAAATAGTGCTGTGGCATATTATCTTGCGGTATGAGAAGCCTTAAGTCCAGCATTGTACGGCAGCTTCCGAGCGCCCGATCAACTTTCGAGTCCAGCATCCATCTCTCAACTTTTGGCTGGGTGGTTCTGATTCTGTATGTTCACTATAGTCTTCCCCTATGTACATTTTGGGGAACAGCAAGAACCCTCTTTGCGCAAAAGAGTCTTGCAGTCAAACCTAACTCGTGCCAAGTGCCCATTCCCTGTCGCCGCCTCCTGCCATCCGTCCTGAATGTGCGGGGATGGATGCAGGATGATGCAGGTTCCCAGTTGCCACCAGGTTCAGAAAACCCGCCACAGGCAAAAAGGCAGTCTTCCCGGCAAACGTTTCTTCTTTTTTTTCGGACACTCCTCAACAATTGGGGACCGCCTGACCTCTGAAGAGGCAACGAAACTAGCAGCGAGAGAGGAAACACATGTGTATATATATATATATAATATATAGCATTCACTCAAGAAAACTGCACGTAGCGGCAAATAGCCATTTGGTGTATCAAGCTGACACAAGCCTGCGCTGCATCGGAAACTGTGGACTCCGTGATGCTCGTGCGAGCAAACGTCTCAATCCTTTCCAATTCAGGGAGACAGCCTTGATCTCCCCCCCCAAAAAATAGGGGTTCCCTTGATTGCCGTGTGCAAGGCTCGGTCCCCGGCCATTGCTGGCTCTGCAGTAGGTGAGGGCGGTGGCGGCTGAGTCCCCATCCCGGCCTAGATCCAGCAGTTCGCATGAGTTGACGACCCACAGTTTGGATGAGAGGAAACCACGCCACACTCAGCAATGAATCCCGTTTCATGGGAATCTCGAATTGTCAGGCCCCGCAAGGCCCTGCGCAAGCCCCTGTTGCACTACTCATTTTTTGCCAGCTCGCACCATCTTGACACTCAGGCTCTAGCTTTCTCCAACGGCGTCCTCGGGGCTCGCGTGCATACGTAATGAACTTTGAACTTGGCAAAAGGTGTGGACATGTGTGGATCAGTCGGTGGCACTTTTGCGTGTCCCGCCTATTCGTTTCATGGGAGAAGTGGCATGCATGGGGTCACATACATCCACACATTGAACTGACAACTGTTCCTCGAGGCAAAGAACTGCCCACTAAGCTCCAAGTGAAATGACTCGAACTCACCCAAGCGAAGCGGCCTCCCCATCGCAGCACCGCCCTTTCTTCCGGCAGCGCCCATGGCTGGGCGAGTCATCTCAAGGTAGGCCCGAGGGGCCTGTACAGAAAAGTGTTCTTGGGCCAGCAGGCTCCGGCGAAATACCGCTAAACTCAGGTTGTCTGCTGGCAGCTTTGCTGCTCCGTCTGGCCTCAGCCCATCAGAAGTTGATGTTCCCGGCCTGCTTGATGTTCTCCTGGTGCGTCTTGAACGCGTGCTCAATCTTCCAGATCCCCTCCTCGGCTGCAGTTCTCAGAGCGGCTCTGCCTGTCGAGCCCTTGTTCTCCGCGTCCGCCAGCATGTCTCTAGTGTCGATCCACATCAGGCTTTTGACTTGGCCTGTCTTCAACCACTCCTTGAACTTCAAGGCGTGGATCAACATGATGGCGTCCGTGGGCGTCTTCACTTCTTTGGCTGCCAAAGCCCGGAAGACGGCATCTGCATCGATGGCCACATCTAGGCCTTCTGTGATCTTGCCGCACTCGAGCTTGTCTGCCATGTGTGCTGCTGACTGCACACCATTGGTGATCTCATTCACCATCATGCATATGTTCAAGCCCAAGCCGACCATGTCCAGCGCGCTGTAGAGCTCCGCCGTGAACGTGCTCCGGCACACGCGGGATTGCTTCTTGGAGATGTACTCCAAGATTTATATCGGATTGTTCCCGACAACCGGGCCCTTTGCGCTAATCAGCACAATCAGCCCGCTCCTCACTGCCAAGTGGTCCTGGTCCTCACCGCGGTAGGCCGAGTCGGTGATGGCCATAAGCTTCAGGGGACCAGTGATCTTGTGGTAGACCAGTTTCAGGGGGTTCTGCTTGATATAGCGAACCAGCCTGTTCAACTTCAAGAGGTCCTCCACCACCGGAGATTGCAGCTTCCGCTGCAGGGCGCTCACGTAGACGATGATGTCCATCCTGGTTTGCGTGGTCCAGGCAACACCGCCCAGAAGCGACATGTAGTACTTGTGGTAGTCCGGTCCCACCAACTGTTCTTTTGGTTGCAACTTCAACTCCTCCTCCGGGATCAGCCTCAACTCGCGGATGTAGTGCTCCTGACTGATCGTCACCATGCCATCCGCGCTCGTCTCGTGCTTGAGTCCGAGGTGGGTGAAGTTGCCCTTCTCGACCTTCATGCTTTCGAAGCGGTCTTCCAGCTTCGCGATCACGATCTTAACGATCTTGTCCTCTCCGCAAAGCTTCAAGTCGTCGACGTGAACCGTCAGAACGAGCACCAAACATCCCCGCTCATGCCGCACGAAGGTCTGCGGGTCGATCGTGGTCAGCGTGACCCCAATTTCAGCGAGGGCACGCCTCAAAGCCAACAACCACAATCTCGGTGCGTCCTTGAGTCCAAACCCAGGTCTGAGCAGCCGCAGGACCTCGACCTCGGGGTTGAAGTCCTCATAGCCCGGCTGCATGCGCAGCAGTGTCTCGCCGCCTGGAGGCAGCTCCAAAGCAACTTCTCTGCGGTCTTCACCAGCTTCGGCCAGCTCCCCAAACGTCAGCCCTCTCAGGAATGCTTCACTGACATCCGCACTGTGAAGAGTCCAGCCTCTGTTGACCGCCACCGTGATCAAGATCCGCTGTGACCACTTCGTGGAAGTTCCAGCGTAGTTGCTTGTGAGCTGGGTGTCCAAGAAGCCTTGTGCCACCAACCTGGCCTTGATCTTCTTGTCGGCGTTCTCCACAGCCTTCCACTTCAAAACCCACTTGCTGCGCAGGATGTTCTTCTGACCATGTTTGGCCGTTCTGCACCATGACTTGTGCTTGATCCAGCGCTGCAGCTCCTGCACCATGGGCTCGCGGCACTTCTCAGCGTTGACCAGTGCTTCTTCACGTGTCAGTACATTGTGCTCGCGCTCGATGGCTGCAAAGGGCTTGTCGTTGGACAGCAAAACCAGGGCTGTGTCCTGCTTGCGCATCTGACTCATGAGCTTCCGGATGCTGCTGGTGGTGTAGACCAGAACTCCATATATTAGCTCCAGCTCTGCGGGTTCTTGAAGTTCACCAGCATTCGTCACCTCCGGCATCTCCATGAAATCTGCCACCGCCGGGACCGCCGAGACAAAGGCTGTTCCTCGTTCTGGCTCACTGCCCGGCTCATCAGGTTCTTCGGCTTCTGCAGCGTTTTGACTCGCTGCTTGCTCTTCCTCTCCAGGCTCATCAGGTGCTGGTTGGGCATCAACGATTGCCCTCACCTTCCTTTTTCGCACGAGGTCTTTGTCTTTGACCTCAACCAGCTCGGGGGCCTGCGGTTCGTGTGGGCCACCGATGTGTGGAGTGTCATCCACCTGAGTCCGTAGTTGCCGTACTTCTTCATCATCAACCATGAAATACTGCACGAAAGCCACCTGCTTCTGCTCGGTCAGCCTCTCCAAGCTGATGTACTTGGTTCCGGTGATGAAACAGTGATTCCACCTCCGGAGATCACCGCGCTGCCACCACACGATCAGCGTGTCGTCATAGATCGTCGCTGGGAGGCCATTGACTCCATGTCCGAACCTGAAACCAACGGTGCCCTGAAGATGTAGGCACACTCCGGCAACATAGAGTCCGGCATTGAGCACCTCCGCATAGTGCCGGTTTCCTTCACACGAAACCCAGCATGCTCCCTGCTTGAACCAGCCCAGCCGTAGAGCTTCTCCTCGTTGAGCTTCCACAGCATCACGTAGAAGCCGCACGGGATTCGATGGCTGTGCGAGGAAGACCGCGTACACAAGGGCTCTCCGCACATCTTGAGTCCGCACCAACAACTGCCTGCCCTGCCAGCGCACATACACGATCCCTTCCCTGAGGCTTGACAGATCAGAGACCGTGGCAGGGCCAACCCAGCCGCTGGCGTCCTTCGTAGTTGGCCGCCTGAAAATCTCAACCAGGTCGCCAATCTCGAGTTCCAAAAGTTCCGCTGACCGTCTCACCTTGGCGCGGTTCGCAATGAGCAGCTTCTGCTGAGCTGTGGCTTGAATCATTGAGCTCACTGCTATCTGCCGGATCCGAGCTGCGTCTTGTTCTGCTAGAGGTGCTGCTGCGTCGTGCGCCATGACCTGCAACAATGGTGGAGTTCTCCCGAAGACAGCCTCGTGGGGTGTGGTGTTGCCAACAGTGAACAAAATGTTCTTGGCATAGATCGCCTCGCCGATCAGTGTGTTGATGCCGATCGGGAGGCCTTCGTTCTGAGCCTGCGTGTCAATCAAATGAAGTTGACGTCGCAGCAGTTCATTGTGTCGTTCCACCACTCCACAATGCTGCTCCTTCGCCACCAGCTGCAGGTTAATGCCACGGCGACTCATCTGCTCCGCCGCATAGTCCGTTGCCAAAGCGCCTTCCTGGTCGGACATCAACGCTTGCGGCGGTCCAAAGAAGCGAATCCAGCAGTTGTCCATGGCCGCCAGGATCGAGTCGGCCGTCCTGTTGGGGATGACCTCCGCTGCTGTCCACCGAGTCGTCATGTCGACCATGTAAAACAGCACGTAGTCCTTGTAGAACAGCAGGTCGCACTGCGCAATCATGTTCATGGCCTCTGGCAACTTTGATGATGTGGCCGCCTTGATGCCCGGCCGTTGCCATGCCCTGCAAACTGCGCATGTGTCAACCACCTCCGACACCAGGGCCAAAACCTCACGTGAGGTTCCTGCTGCAGAGAGAAGAGCTCGCATCTTGGCCGCTGAGCAGTGGTACCACCGGAGGTGCAGTCGCCGAAGTGCACGACGTACCACTCCTTCTCGCACGCTCCGTAGTGCTTGCAAAGCCGCTCCGAGGTCAAAGCGCGACCATTCTGGTCCTCGAGGTTCTTCAGGATCTGAACCTCCGTCATCTCCATCTCCACCATCGTCCGGTGCAGGGGGTCCACCACCGGGCTTGACCAGCTTCTTCTCGGAGCGTTCCTCAGCTTGCGTACCAGCATCTGCTTTGCGTATTCTGGGTCCACTATCTGCGGCCTTCACCGCTCGCCTTGCTTCAGGATCTGCGGGATAATCCGCAACTTCACCAGCTGGCTCACGCCGGATTGTCAAGGGTTTCGGCTTTGCTGCGGGATCGCCAGGAACTCCACTCTCTCGCCTGGGATCGTCGCTCAAAGTGCTGGTCGGATCTCTGCAAGCCGGCACTCGTCCATCTCTAGGATGAGACCCTCTTCGTTCTCTCGTGCCTCCAGCTGGCATTTCACGTGCCACTGCCCACTGGCAATCTGGCCCAATGTATGTGTGCGGTGCGCCCGATGTCGGTTTGCCCTGCATGCTGGACACCTCCAATCACTTGGCTCGACATGTTTGAACCGGCAGTCGCCACTGCGTGAGTGTCTCTTGTCGTCTTGACGAAGATGTCCACGACAGCCTGGACACTCATATCCTGGACACTCATATCGGTGCGTGCCAGCAGCAAAAGCCTTGGTGTGATTGGGTCGGCTGAGGAGATACTCGTGAATGCCGGCTGCAATTCTCTCACAGAGTTCCAGGGCCCAAACTTGCATGTCGGCACTCTTCACCACATGAGCTGCATGTCCCTTCCACTGCCCGATCACCGCATGCTCGTGCTTGCCATCACATCTCAGGTTTTGCAGGTGGAATAGGAGCTGCTCGTGTGAAGCCCGGATTTCCGTGCTTTTGCGCACCGGCAAAGGGTTCCTTTGCCATCCTCAGTCCAGTCATGCATTGCTCGAAAACCACCTTGAACACGTGATCCTCGAGCTGTTTCCACTCCGGCTCATCGTAGAGCCCACTGCCAGCTGGTTGCTCGACCATAAACGCTTTGCCTC